GTGTAAGAATGCCACGCACAACATCGTCATGGCATACTTAGCTTTGTTAGAGGACGTGGCAGGAAACCAATTACTTCTGTGCTTAACTATTTTTGTCACTGAATATACAGTATATACATAATTGGAAACATTTTTTGTCTTGTTTAGATTACATACAGTGTTTCCTGTTCCTTTAAGCCAGTTATGTGTGTGGTAGTTTCCTGTTAGAGTATTGCATGAAAGGGCCTATAATATCATAAAAATAAGGTTCTAGTTGGTAATTCTGATTGTCATACAGATCCACACAGCAATAACATTTTGCATTCACTTTAATAATTTTTTGTCTCTCCATGGTTTGATTTACAGTTATTCCTATGTGCCCAATTACATCTCCTTTTGTATTCGTAATTGTTTTGAAATGACTAATTATTTAGTCTCGACTCGACTTTTATCCAAACGTGCAACGTGCATTTGTAAGCAGGGTGAGAGGGTCCTGCAGAAAGGCCCAAGGGGGAAATCACTCTGCCAGCTATGGGATTTGAAACACTCACTTTCCAATCACAAGTGCAGCATCCAAAAGCGATGAGTCACACATCGGCCCCAAGCAGAATTATTAAATGTTTTTTGTTTTGAGCTTGCATGAAGCTACTCACGGCTCAGATTCAAGTACCTGACTGAAGACAGATGTTTCCAGATATAGTTTAAAGGCTGCCCTGACCTTGACTGCAACCGAATTGCATTTTGTTTTATTTTTTAGGAACATATTTTCAGAACAGAAAGAATTATGTGAAGAAGTAATTACCTGTTTTATATCCAAATAACATTTAGGAGAGATTTAATAAAATGATGCCTTTGCAAGGAAAGATAAGCTGGGAGCTATTCTTTTATCACTCATATTTGCAGACTCCATGCATATTGATGCAGATCACTGGTTCTTTCTTGTCCCTGTGTACAGTATTTCGACCAATCACATGGTAATGACGTAATTAGCTCGGTTTAGTCACGCTATCAGCCCTGCTAGTAAGCAGGGTCACGTCAGCATGGTCACGGCTCACATACCTGTAATTTACAATGAAAAATCGTCTGTTTGCGGTTCGGCTTGGTTCTTGGTGGCAGTGGGAAAGCGGCATTAGTTTCACTCTCTACTCTAATCTACTCTTTTCAGCTATACTTCTCAAAATGATTTGACTCCAAACTTTCTGCATACACTGAAACCTGCAAATTACACCCAGGGCTACGCCCATGACCTCAAACATCTACAAATTTGTCCTCCACCCCAAGCCACATGCATGGGCAAAGGCAGGCCTGTAAACAGCCCTCAGCCTGGGGTGTTTGGTGGGTATGGCTGGGAACTGTAGTATCAGCTGTTGCAAAACCTTCCTTTGGTTTGTGGTTTTGGTGCCAGAGATGCCTGTACCTGTACCCCATTTCTCTAGAGTCAAACAAGCAAATCTGGGGGGGAGGGGAGTATTTTGGTGTTTTCCCCTGTTAGAGCTTAAACTCCTAATGAACATGTATGTGTGTGTGATACAAAAAGGGTTTCTGTGCTCTCCACTGCCCCCTAATGGCTGCCAGCTACCATCACACATGCTGCCAGTATGGATATGGATTTATCTCCCCCAGGAGACACACTGTTGTGTGCAGTGAGAATAAGGAACTGCTCCATCTCTTCATGTATCACAATAGCAGTGTCAGTTGTTTTCTTGGTGACACAAAGACACATCTTAGTTTTTGAGTAACGGAATCAATTAACATATTTTTTTTTTGCTGTCATTGTAGGGTGCTACTTCAATTTTGCGGTGATCTGTCTCAAAATGGATTCAATTCTAATTCCTCACCCATTTTTGAGTTATCATCTTAACAAAGGCAAAGAGTCTGTGGTCACGGACTGGCCCCAAAACCATATGCATTCCTTGGGGATCACAATAGGTTTGCCAAATACTAATTCTAAATCTCCTTTTATGCACATGTCGATATTCCAACAAAAATTCCAAGAAACACACTGATATATGAAGTTCATGGCAAATTCAACAATTGTGTTGAAATCCCTTAACCCATAAATTTATGACTACCTATTCCAGTATCAAAAAGCCGTGTGACACTCATACCAGTCTGTCCAGTTTTGTGGCCCACTCCAGTGACAGAAGGGAGATTTGGACATGATGGTGACGTTCATCTGCATTATGGGATTGAATGACCACACCTTGATGACACCATCCACATCAAGACTGGCCACTCTCCTCCCTGAACAGTCTACCCTGAATCAAATACAGAGATAAGTTGAAAAGTTTTGAGCATCAAAAACAATAAAATAAAACTAAAAATGCTGCATGACAACCCTAATATTACAAACTATTAACAGGGTCGAGTCTTTTACCAGCAGAGTTAAAACAGCTGCAATCAATGACTCATATCAACCTGCAATGCATGATGGAGGAGTGATGCTTGCTGTATTCTTCTGGGCTCAGCTTAATAAAGGGCTGCTTAACAAGGCCAGGGCCTTCCTCACTCACTCGGATATGACTGCTTGGTACTCCTGGGCATTCCCGAACACACCAGCGGGGTCTACAAGGAGAGGGCACCTAGTCTGGATCCCAAGCCAGGGTTGAGTGGCTGGAGTCCAGTGAGGCAAACGCAGTTGAGCGGAAGAAGGCTGGCGAGATGGCCACAGATGCGCAGGCAGGAGCTGAAGAGGCAACGACGGCCACAGGCAAGCAGGCAGGAGGTGACAAAGCATCGGCCGAGGGTAAGCAGGCAGACCAGCAGGCGGGAGCCGTCTGGGCAGCACCGGCCTTGGGCGAGCAGGCAGGTGAAGCAGGGCAAGCTGGATGACGGAGAAGCGTGATTCATCACTCTGGAGAATACATCTCCATTGCTCTAGAGTCCAGTGGCAGCGTGCTTTATACCACTGCATCCGACGCTTTCCATTGCACTTGGTGATGTAAGGCTTGGATGCAGCTGCTCGGCCATGGAAACCCATTCCATGAAGTTCTCTACGCACTGTTCTTGAGCTAATCTGAAGGCCACATGAAGTTTGGAGGTCTGTAGCCGTTGACTCTGCAGATAGTTGGCGACTTCTGCACAATGTTTGCAAAAACATTGACTGTCTGCAGGCTTCCGAGGAAAGGATTGGGAAACACTAGACCCTCCTACCACAACAAAGCCTCACGCTTTTGTAGGTGATTTTTCCAGATGTTTATACATTATATAAATTAAAGCACTTATTAAAAGGAAGAGGATGAGGAGCCACGTCAGACTATTCAGTGAGGGGACATACTGGGAGGACTGCAGATATATAGGTTCATGCAAGAGTATCTCTAATTTCAATAGGCCTATCTGATCATATGCACTTGCTTATTGTTTTCTAACAGTTTGGCTGACGCATCTGAAGATGAAGAGGGTCCATTGACCTTGACAACACAGCTGAGCCCAGTATGAACTTATTCCTAATGTCCTGTGTATAAGTGAAAGGATGATATTTAAAGATGCAGGATTAACAAAATGTTTTCTTCCTAGATGAGTTTTAAGGCCACCTGGAGAAGAAAATAAAGTGTTATCTCCCGATGAAGCATAGTAATCTTTTTTAAAAAAATCTAGTTTAAAAATTGAAGTGCTGTAATGCTATTTAAATTGAATTTTGTGGTTGTCAAAAGGTGGATGATTCTTAATTGCTGTGAAATGAGCATTGCGTTTGTGTGTGTCATTGCAGGCCATAAAGAGCACATGAATGAAACTGCAGTGGATTTGACTTTATTGCATTTATCTTGGTGGTTGTGAGTAATGACTAAGAAAAACTGTGATTTGCACTGATGTCCCTGTGAACTCTGCCATCTCTGAGGTCTGCAAAGTGGAGCAGTTGTTCTTCCTTTGGCTGAGTGTGTGGCACAGTAGGATGGGACTCTCAATTTAAGTTACAAATGCAAAAGTTACATATCCTGTGCAAATTTGTAATAGAATGTACATTCCCTATAAATTCTTGAGTCATGGACAGAGCCTGGTCATTTTGCTTGGACGTTGAATATCATTTGTGCAATTTTGACAGTGGACACAGGTAGGGCAAAATAAGTCACAAGACATTGGGAAATAAAGTTTTTAGTTGGAATAAAGTGATCTGACGCTACCTACTATTTATACTGTGTAAAGGTTTCCTGTTCATGTAATCTCTTTCATTTACTATTTTATTACAGTCAATTTTAATTCCATCTAGACATTCAATGATATCTGTGAATCCAGCGAAATTTGGACGGTTATATTTTTTCATTGTGATAACTCGATCATTCTTGTCACCAATAACTATTTATGTAATGACTAACTTGAAATCTAGTGAAACTATCCTATAATTATTCTCCGAGGTTTATGTCCGGGAAAAAGGAGAAAAATATGTAGCAGCCTTTTGAGTGCTATGTATAGGCCTACTATATAAACTTGCTGTGTTTGGGTGTTCAAATAAATAAGATAAACTTTAATCAGATTAAATCAACCTTTAACCAGCGTGGCCAACTCACACATCTTGTGTGACAGCTTTCAGATTCTCAAGCAAGAATTCTTACAGCAAATCTATATTATTTCATTATAAACCTAAAATTTGCTACATCAAAAGCAGTACTTTGAAAATCCTGCAGACTATTTACAAGGTAAAAATTACTGTTAATTAAATGCTTGTGCATATGTGTGCAGACTTGTCTCGAAAATCTCACTCCAGCCAGCTGACCAAAGTTGGCAACCCAACTTTAACTACTTATTCAATATCAAAATTTTGGCCAAAAATAAATTTAAATGAAGTGATGATAAGGAAGGAAACTAGTGAAATGATGTGTGAATCAGAAGAAGAATTCGGCAGTACGGCAACTTTCAAAGCACAGTCCGCAAACTTTTGGATTTCACCGTCAACTGTTAGCACCTAAATAAGGTCAGCGGATTCGACTTGTCATAAAAGTTCAGGCATGCGTGGTGCAGAGACTGGTGAGGGATGTTACGTGATTTATGATTCGTCACTGTTACGTTACGTCTATGGGAAGAGGTGGGGCTTGGCTCGGTGCCAGGGAACAGAAGTTGACGTCGGAATTACTACTGTTTCAAATTATAAAAAAATTAATGTCACACTTTCAATCAAAAAATGGACGAAACTGGAAGTATCGACTCGGGTCTAACCGCAGCTTCTGGTATAGTAGATCTTTTTAAGTCGCATGTATATTAATCTAAAGTACTAAATTGATTTAAGTCGATCTATACAAACTTCGGTTGTCAGAAAGTGGTTTACAGAGAATTAATAACTGTTTCCGTTATTTGAGATGACGCTGTGATGTTAGGTTAATGAATGTTTAATATCATTACTTGCCAAGAAAATGAACTGCGTCTGTGGTTGTATTTTTGACTCCCTTTTTAAAAAGAGAATTAAGTTCTGCATTCTAATCCGATACCATCAGAACTTCTTTCTTTAAATGCACATGCAGAGAGCTGTACACAAGATGAAAAAGTCCAACCAGGCTCCGTTGGTGGACTTGGCCAGCAGCTTAGCGAGCCAGCCCGCTTTGCATATGCCGGACTTTGCAGTGTCTCCTTGGGGCAGCTGTTCAAAGGGGCAGAGCACAGGTATAAAACAGTATTTAAGTTTGGGCAGATGTTCTGAGTATTTGTTAGAATCTATTAATTCTGCTTGTCTCATATACTGAGCACTTGGTTTAGCGCAAGTACTATAAAATGCATTATAATTATGCATTATAAAAGTATTTTAAAGTATGCGCTATTGTGAAAACCACGTGACCCTACATTGAGAAATATGCAGGTGCTTTCGGGATCAGTACTTGGAGGACCTGGTGCAGTGGCTGGGGCTGGATCAGTCAGTGATGCCTGCTATGAGGGCCTTCTTGGCAGGACTGGGGATTGAGGGCGGCGACACCTTCCTTTCCATACTGCATGGGGAGCCACTGTTGAGTGTAGGGGCAACGCCAGTTGTACAGGTGACTGACACCTTCCGGCCAATGATAATGTAACACACACAGTGCCATCCATAATGTCTGCGACAAAGACATATATAGGCAAATATATATATATATATATATATGCCTCTATACTTCACAGTTTCATATTTGTAATCAGACAATTCATGTAGTCAAAGTGCACATTCCCTCTTACTTTAGTTATCTGTAGGACATTGTTAGCAGACTCCTGTGTATTGTGTACCTTCAAGCCACCGAATGACATGTTTCCTTTTGCTTCCCAGGACCTGGTGTCCTTCTCTGTCAAAGACGGTATGTAGATGTTCTGTGTATCGATTCTATGATAATGTTGGCAAGGTCATTTTACATACCCCCCCTGTTCCTTTGCCTCACCCTATTCCTCTGTCCCTCTTTTTCTTTAACCCTTGTCTGGTATTACATCCTCCTCCAGGCCAGTATGATGCACGGGCCCGGGTTCTGATCCGACATGTCAGCTGTTTGCTTCGTGTGCCGCCCCAAAGCTTGGAGGAGTTTGAAGGGACATTGGGAGAAAGGCTGAGGGAAGGAGGAGAGGAAAGCGAGTGAGTGGTGGAGGGATGTGGTGGAGGAATGTTGAACATTGAGCAAAAATTGGAGGTTACATAGGCTATATTGCATGTTGGATGAAGTTGGTGTGTGTGTGTGTGTGTGTGTGTGTGTGTGTGCTTGGTTTGTATGTGTAAGGGTAGGTGTTGAATATGCTAACTGTCCTGCCTGTGTTTCAATGCTTTCCAACAGGATGACTTGTTACAGTAAGTGTGTTTTTTATGTTTATATTAATATTAAGTGTGCATATTATTTTCTGAATGACTTCCAAAGGCCGGCCGTCTTATGTGTAAAAGTAAATGTTTGCATGAGTGTTCTAGGTATTATGCCAGTATCTTTTTTGCAAAACCAAGGTTAGCCGTACAGTATGTGTTCAAACTCCTCCCCTGTTCTTATCATACTTTTTTAGAGAGGAGTCATTTCGGAGACGCAAAAAAGAAAGAGGGAAAAAGCTGCGTCGCTACCTGCTGATTGGTTTGGCCACCGTGGGAGGGGGCACTGTGATTGGTCAGTATGGGTGTTTTCTGAAGTCTGTGTTTGTCCCAGATGTGTGTACAACTCTGTCAAAATCAGTCATTTCCGATGAAAATTTCCATAGTACATCAACATAGTAAATCAGTGTAAAGTTAGCAAAAGATAGGCAAAACTGTTGCGTAATAAAAATGAATTTAATTGGTGTGTATGTATTAACTGGTCATGGGAGACAGTCCCCCAGAGTACATTCAGAATTTGCCAACCATGATCAACCCACAGCAGAATAAATATCTGTCAGGGTCTCTTAACTGCCCACATTAGTGTTACTGTCAGGCTGCTAATGATGAGAGTTTCTGTCCAAGGCTGCTTAGTTTGAGAAGGAACTGCTGTATCAGAATGGTTTGCCAACTAGATACCATGTAGCCGTGAAAGCCTGGCAGACAGCAGAACACTGGTGCTGTGTTCAGGTTGAACTCGTAACTCCTAAATTCCAAGTTCCTAGTTGGACATTTCAACTGGAACGCCCTCCTAAGTCGGAATTCCGAGTTGCGAAGTCGGACAAAATTGACACACCCAAGATGGCTGCGCCTTTTATCAACAGAGGTTAAAGGTGTAGTTTTATAATGTTTATTAGCATTTATGTCTTATTTGTGGCTCATTAAACCGGTTAAACACACAGTGCTGTGCAACAACTATCTGCGGACGTGTTGCTACAGTGTTTTTATGTGCAGAATTACCACGTAATGTGTTGTTATCTACTAATATTGCTAAAAATGGCTAACAATTAAACAGGCTAGAACTGGGGCCCATTTCAGAAAGCAGGATTTCTTGCTTAACCGGGCAACTTGTCGGATTTAAGGCTAAATGTAAATGAACAAAGGTAAAGTCCATTTAAACTGGGGTAAATTAATGTCAATGACTTATCCAGCTCAGCCAGAAATCTCGCTTTTTGAAATGGGTCCCTGGTATTTGCTGTACTGGAACTCTAACTCATATGTCACGTCATTCCCAGTTCCAAGTTCTGACCTCTGAGGTAAATGAAACACAGCATAAGAATATGGAGAGAAGATTTTGGCAAAAAAAAAATCATTGTGGATATTCACTTGTTGAGGTGTTCTTAGAGTGGCTTGGATTTTGATGAAACAATACTTAGTATGATTACTATATACATGTGCTTAATCGTCCTGAGTAAGGCTATGTGAGAGGGAATATTTTAATGAACAAGCTCATGGCATCAGTGCTGCATTGAGAAACCTTTTAAAACCATTAGTAGACCTGAAGTCTAAGAGTTTGCACCATTGTACAGTCACTGAATGTGTCTCTTGTTTGTCCATATTTGATTACTGTACCGTGTACATTCCCAGTCCAAAGTTTGGACACCCCTACCCATAGAAATGTTTATTTGTACAATTCTCTATATTTTAGAATGACCTTGAAGACATCAAAATGATGAAATAACATATAGAATTATGCCCTAACCAAAACAAAAACAATGTTTGGGGTGGGTAGCTCTGTGGGTTGGGACACAGAAGGTTGCTGGTTCAAATCCCTGGGTGGGCAGAGTGATCGCAACATTGGGCCCTTGAGCAAGGACCTTAACCCCAGTTGCTCCAGGGACTTGCTGTCCCTACTGTCCCCTCTATGCCAGTTCCATGAGGTGGCCTCCTGTGATGCTTCTCCAGCTGTCCTGAAGGAGGTCCCACATATGCTGGGCACTCATTGGCTACTTTTCCTTCACTCTCTGGTCAAACGTCTCCGAAACCACGTTAGGTCACTACGTTAGGTCAGGTGACCAGGTCATGTGATCATGTGACACTATCACTCTCCATTGTAGGCAGGTTGGCATGTCTAACCTTTTCACTGGTACTGCATGTAATTTCCACAGAGTTCTATTAGGATGATTATTATCCAAGCTCCTTACTGGTGTGAGCTTTACTTACTGAGCTCCTAATCGGTACTGGAATGTGTGTGGAGGTGTATCGTGTATGTGGAGGTGTATCGTGTACGTGGAGGTGTATCGTCTACGTGGAGGTGTATCGTGTACGTGGAGGTGTATCGTCTACGTGGAGGTGTATCGAGTACGTGGAGGTGTATCGAGTACGTGGAGGTGTATCGTGTACGTGGAGGTGTATCGTGTACGTGGAGGTGTATCGTGTACGTGGAGGTGTATCGAGTGTGTGTGCATTCCCTTCTGCTCTCTGGTTCACAGGTGTGACGGGAGGTCTGGCTGCTCCCCTGGTAGCTGCGGGAGTGGGGGCCGTGATTGGAGCAGGGGGTGCTGCAGCTCTGGGATCAGCTGCCGGCATCGCTATCATGGCCTCCCTGTTTGGAGCAGCGGGGGCAGGATTAACTGGTGGGTTTTACAGGCACAGGCGGGTTAATGAGCTGGCCAATAGCAAACGAGGTGTAGGAATGAATCGTTCCCACAATGTTCTGTGGTGCTGTTCTTCATATATTTCACACTCCTCTCAGGCACATCTTTTTTCTTCCTAATTGTAATCTTAATGAGTAATGATTTAAATCAGTTTAGTGATAGTCTTCCCCCGCTGTCGTCCTCGTTTAGGCTATAAGATGAAGAAAAGAGTGGGGGCCATTGAGGAGTTTGAATTTCTGCCCCTGAGCTCCGGGAAGCACCTCCACCTTACCCTGGCTGTGACGGGCTGGCTGTGCAGCGGAAAATACAGTTGGTCATAGCAACACACCCAGCAAAAAGAAAAAGAAAACAAGCAAATGACACACAAAAAAAAGTACTCATATACACTGACTGACACACAGTTGCATCATAATGGCCAGTTGGACTAATTATCTATCTGTACTGCTCACGCTGTTTGAAAGATGTTGCTCCTCTAGGTGGGGCCTACTGTTAAAGAGACAGCAGGCCTCCCAGGCTGGCAGGGTCTCTGTTTCTGCTACTAATTACAGAAAAAACATTCAAACATTCAAACACACAAGTAAATCCCCTTGATTAAAGGGAGGCACTGATGAACATGCAAGAGCATCACATGGGAGGTCAGATGGGCTGTTTACAGTTTCTCCTGAATGTGACTTTGCTAACCCTTCTTCCCGCCAAGGCTCTTTCCAGGCCCCGTGGTGTAGCCTGGGCTCCTGTGGGGAGCAGTACTGCCTTGTGTGGGAGTCCCGCTACCTGAGGGACCTCGGTTCTGCCTTGGACTCCCTGCTGGATGGTGTCTTTAGCATGGTGGCCCAGGAAGCTCTGAAGTACACCGTGCTTTCAGGTAGGGAAGACTGTACGCAAGCTGTCATGGCGTCACTTAATAACCATTAGAGGTACTGGCGGTCCCCACGTTACAAACCAGATCTGCTTCCTAAGTCTTTCTTTAAGACGAACTTGTAAGTCGGAAAAATAATACAGTACATAATAATAAATATACAGTAATAATAAAATGTATGGTTCCTCAAGCCGTGCAATGTTTTCACGAGTAACAAAGTACTGCATGTGTTCGTTATTACGAACCATTGTATTTCACATTAATTTTTAATATGAGGCTTCATGGCAGTATGTTCATAAGTAAGTTGGACATTCTTAACCCGATGACTGTATTAGCAAGTATAGAAGTACCTATTTTTTATTGGTTCTGAGTATGCTTTCATCACTGATGTTTCATGGTGCCGACTGGGGCGTGATCCTCTGACTGTGATTGGCCAGGCATCGTGACGGCGCTCACATGGCCTGCCTCCCTCCTGGCGGTGGCCAGTGTGATTGACAACCCGTGGGGGGTGTGTCTGAGCCGCTCGGCCGAGGTCGGTAAGCAGCTAGCCCAAGTCCTCCGGAGCAGGCAGCAGGTGCGTCGATCCACTCCAGCGGGCCCCAGGGAGAGAGCTGACTGTCCGACTGCTCCCTCACGTTCTTATGTGTGCTGATGTCCAGGGCAAGCGTCCAGTCAGCCTGATAGGCTTCAGTTTGGGAGCAAGAGTCATCTATTTCTGTCTTCAGGAGCTGGCAAACGACAAAGGTATGGACAAATACATATGTAAATTTACACCTGTACTGAAAATAAATGGCAGATGTATGTGAAGCACATTCAAACCACAACAACCAGGACTGAACAGATGGTAAGACATTTGAAAAATGCCTTGGAATGGTACTTTCATGTGGAGCAGGGGTGGGGATTGTCTGCCCCCAGGCCTTACGCGGCCTGCAGGGCAGTTTGAGTGCCCCACGAGGCATTTCATAAATACAAAAAGCAACTGAAAAATATAATAATGACAACGATTCAAAAACTCTAGTTATGTACCATCCAGGGGACACTCTGGATGGGATGCCAGTCCATCACAGGGCACAGGGCAGGGGACACCCTGGATGGGATGCCAGTCCATCACAGGGCACAGGGCAGGGGACACCCTGGATGGGATGCCAGTCCATCACAGGGCACAGGGCAGGGGACACCCTGGATGGGATGCCAGTCCATCACAGGGCACAGGGCAGGGGACACCCTGGACGGGATGCCAGTCCATCACAGTGCATAGTCACACATAGTCAATTCTAGAAAATATGCAACTACAGACACCGAACCACAGATCTATAACCCTGGGTGTGTAAGAGTGCAGTGGTAACCTATGAGCCTCTTTGCCTAATATATTGAACAGGAAAATTCATCTCAAAATTTCAGAGCACCTTTGGAAGCTGATCATGTTATCTTACAATGAAAGTTGTTCTTTTAAAAATGCAGACAGGTCCTTAGTACGCACGCAGGTTTTAGGTCTGTTATTTTTCACAGGTTGTGAGGGCATCGTGGAGGATGTCGTCCTCTTGGGGGCGCCAGTGGACGGCTCAGCCAAGCAGTGGAAAAGGATTTCCAGTGTGGTCGCGGGAAGGATTGTTAATGGATACTGCAGGTGTGGGGAAGTTATAGGTGCAGAAATGGGAATTTTACTATGTGGACAATTGCAGCCTTAAGTGCAGAGGGATATGCATGGCACTGCTACAGTGTGATTTGTCATTGTGCTTCATAGAGGGGACTGGCTCCTTGGGTTCCTTTACCGTGGTTCGTCCGTCCAGCTGACTGTTGCAGGGCTTCAGCCAATCAGTTTGGATGATCCTCATATGGTTAATGTGGACTTGTCATCTGTGGTGAGTAGGGCGGTCTCAATCTCTTAAACTATAAGAAAAGCCGTCCATGTTGGCTTTATGTTTCATTAATATTTATCAATTTTTTTAAAATTAGGGTTAATACTAATAATAATAATGATAATGATTGATTCACCTTAATGGAAATTGGGTTGTTTTCGCATATCCCATCTTAAATCCACACACGGAGATATAGACACAGGTGAGAGCAAGTTGTTGGGTCAGAATCACTGGAGCGATTGGGGTTAAGGGCACGAGTCCAGCAGTGACATCACTCTGCCAGCCAGATGATTTGAATCAGCCACCTCCCAATTACAATTATTACATTGTAATAAATTGTAATAAAAAAGAGGTTAGATTTATTTTGCGTTTTTACATTGCTTATAGTGAAGGGCTGTACGATGTATCATTTTAACGTCATCATCGTGATGTGTGCATACCGAACATCACATTTGTCGGAACTGTCGATACGGCAACACCACCAACTTATTGGACATAGTCTATTGGTAGATAATTAATTCTATTTGGCTGTAGTTTATTTTGGATAATTATATTACTCACTGAAATTTCACATATGGTGATGTGATATGGCGATGTGATACCATGCAGTCCCACTGTAGTGTGTGATCAGGAAGGTCTCCTCAGTGACTTAATGGCACCTCATGGGGTGTTCACCCTTCCTCCTGACCTGTGGCACCCGAGAGGCTCACAGCAACACGGTTATGCTGTTCGTAACGTCACACGTACATCTTTTCGTTTGCTGATTAGTCACGTTTATATGCCGTCACACACACCACTGCTTTTAACCTTTTACCAGTTTAATGGTACATCCACTTAAAAAATGGCTCCCATCTTGAGAAGTGCTTTACAGAGTGCTGAGCTGCTGTTCGTACCCGCGCCGCCATATTACCCATGGACACTTTATCTTCATTGTTATTATCTCTTCCTTTTTTTCTGTGTGCCCCTTTGCTTCGGCCAGCTTCTGGTGTTCTGTCCCTTTTCTACCAGTGCGATACCAATATGACCAGTACAATATGAACATCATCTGTGGAATGACAGTAGTTTGGTAGTCTAACTAAAGTATGAGTGATAAGTACTGAATAGCCTTGATTAACATTTCTTTTGAATTTGAGTCATATATTTATGTTCTGAAAAATGTTTCTGAGAATTCACGATTACAACATTGCATGTAGATGGTCTCAGCCTTGTTCCTCCAGTTTTAGTAGAAAGAACAGCTAACCATACAAATTATACAAATTGCACTTGTGAGTAGTATTGACTGTACTGAGAAGTTTTCCATTAAACTTTTGTAACTTTATAACTAACTTAAGTGTAAACTTTTGTTTGCCTGCCAGCTCTTTATGTGAGTGGTTTTTAATATATATTTATAATAAAATTCTTCCTTTTCAGATAAATGGCCATCTGGATTACATGCGTCAGATGGAGACTATTCTTGTTGCAGTAGGAGTTCCTACTCGTGAGAGGGCAGGAGACATGAACTGCCAGTCTTACCCAAGAAATACTGCAGAAGAGGGCTTTGCTGAATGCCAGTCAGACAAAGAAGATGGAGATTCCAGAAAGGAAGAGGTGAGGTCAGCTGAAGAGGAAGGTGGACCAGTCCTTGATGGAAAAGAGAGACCTACCTTGAATGGTGTTTCTGTATCCAACCTTGCAAAAGATTGCAAAGGCAGTCAGGGAGAACATGATAAAGGAGAAAAAGAAGATTCTGATGGTTGGGATTTCCCAGATATCTCTGATTTGTTGGATTCTTTAAATGAGGCAGACGTGTCGATCCCACAGTGCCCTTTGGACAAAGTGCCAGAAAGCCCTAAGCAGAGAGCTGACGGTGGAGACAGTCTTGATACTTTGAGGCATCATTACGGAGAAGAAGCAGAGACCAGTGACTTCAGTCCTGAGTTCCCTCATTTGCCCAGGGATTCTGATCATACTTACAGGGACTGAGTTTTAGGGTGTTTTCACACCTATAGTTTGGTTTCTCTGGTCCAAATCAGTTGATGACTTTGTAAACTTGCAGCACTTCCCCTTTAATTCGGTTTGCTTTCACACAGAGAAAAATCCAAGTGAAGCAACAATGCAATGCTACAAACCATGTGAGAATGTTCATTCTGCTTATTGGTCAGATGTGTCTGGCGAGAGCAAGAAAGTAAATACAGGAAGAAGGTCCTGTGTCCTGGGCTGTGCAGTAAATACAGGAAGAAGGTCCTGTGTCCTGGGCTGTGCAGTNAGTAAATACAGGAAGAAGGTCCTGTGTCCTGGGCTGTGCAGTAAATACAGGAAGAAGGTCCTGTGTCCTGGGCTGTGCAGTTGAACATCTCTCAATTTCATGTATTGTTGCCTGAGTTTTTCATTTTACTTTCACACAGCACTGTTCATTCAACCAGTCAAATCCTCTCTCCTTCAGCTATTGACAGAACATTATGAAAACTTCAGAGTTTTTATGAGATGTTTTTAGGAACTGACAGACGTAGTCATCTGTTCAGATTTCAAGAAGGCAGCATACCTCGCTGTTAGACTAAGTAAGACCTCGGTTCATTTCTCCTTCTCTGCTTGCTACTGCTACTTGTTTGCATGCTCTGCCTCATCCCAGAATGCAAAGCACACCTGGCTGTGGGAGCCGTTTAGCTCAAACTTATGGCGTGAACCTGAAAGTTGGGTCGAATCAAGGTCTGATCATGTCTGCACCAAAAACGAACTGTTCCAGAATTCTTTAGGGACCGAACTGAGACCATCTCCTCTCAAGGGTCTCGGTTGTTTTGGTCCACACCCGAGTACGATTACTGTGTTCACACCTGCCCAAATAATCACACCAAGGGGGAGATCAGAGTCCATCTTAACTGGACTAAAAATGCCGGTATGTAAACACCCTTAAAGCATGCCCTGTTGGACTTTGGGCCAGCTAGGCACTGGGCCAATCTAGGGATGTTGCGATACCAGAAATTGAGTAGTCATTACCAATTCGAGTGAAATTCCATGATTTTTGATACCCAATTCTATACCACGGTAAAAAAACAAAACTACAAATCCCATGTACTTCAACATGCACACTTTTATTAAAAATATTTGAACATTACATGCCACTGCTGTTGTTTTATTTTTTTGTAGCCTTCAAGTAATAAAAAGACACAACTATTAACATTAGGCTACAAAAAAGAATGGTGGCATGTAGCCCTCAAGTATTTAAACTATACAGTGCTTAAAATACAAACCGCAATCGTGTCATCAGTTGCAAGGAGCTTAAAAATACAATGTAGACCAGTAAAGACACCACCAGAGGAGTCTCCCGGCTAAGCAGAAAATTTTAATAACAAAACAAACCACAAAATCATTTAAGGCAGCGCAAAAACTGTACAGTAAAAGTGTTTTTTTTTTTTTTTTTTTTCGCTTTTACAAATTGATTTACAGTATGATGTTAACATTTTGTGTCTGTCGGGATTTAAGCCTGCCCATGTTTATTAATGTAGTACATGTGATTCAAGAGTAATAAGCATTTTATTTCAGGCATGTCATTATATATACATGTATGTTTCTTAATGGAGGGAGATTCTTCAGAGGGGAACTAGAGCACTTGTAGGTGTATATGCTGCTCCTGTCAGGCCCAGAAGGATTGCATCCCTGATATCTGTGTTATTGTGCAAAAACGGGTAACATTGTGTTTTCAGAATTTTTGACATCGACTTGGTACTGATCGGCTCACTTGACATCCCTAATTCAATTACAATTCAATGGCACCCCAGTAGGAGACCGTAGCATCTCCATTGGATACAGAGAGACATTGTGCTTGTGCTGTCATACTTTCACCACATGAGGGCAGCAAAACGGCAGCTGAAACTCAGGTGTAGCAACAAACCACAACATTCAGCTGATTCTACTGCCTTTTTCATTTTCGTGGTTCGAGTTGTGAGTGTACTTCACTGCATTTTTTCAGTCAGTTCACTGGATTTAAAGCTCTTGTTTTTTTTTTGCCTAACCTCATGTCGCAGTAAAATGAAAAGCCCTATATGGTTAATATTTACTGTATATCGATGTAGGAGGACTCCGGTTTCCCCCCCACAGTCCAAGGACATGCTGAGGCTAATTGGAGTTACTAAACTGCCCATAGGTGTGCATGTGTGAGTGAACGGTGCGTGTGAGTGTGCCCTGCGATGGGCTGGCCCCCCGTCCTGGGGTATTCCCCGCCTCGTGCCCGTAGCTTCCGGGATGGGCTCCGGACCCCCCCGCGACCCAGAAGGATAAGTGGTTTGGAAAATGGATGGATGAAGTAGGAGGAACAATTATCCAGCTGCTGGCAAATTTTTTGTTCACTTCCCCAGATGTGTATTCCATGTTGGGTACAGACGTCAGTGTTAACCATGTTAAAAACGCTTTTAAAGCCAAGCTTGGTTTCTTTTGTTTATTGCGTTTATGGACGGAATCATTAATTCTAACAGGGATTCCACGATTGATTAAATTTCAAATGTTCTATTACCTACTGCTGACATGAGTGGTCCTTGGTCTGATCCATGTTAGCATTGTTCAGAGCTGCCCCCCCCATGAATTTGAGAAAATGGTAGGGCCCTGAATCTGTGATGTTTGTTCCTTTGTCACCGCCCCCTCACTGGCTTGCCTAGAATGGGTGAAGGTGAGAAATTCTGAGACAAATTTTCTGTCATCTGTCTCACGCACCTCCCTCCCCAGACAGCTACTGCATTTACTTATTTTATCATTTCAGTTGTTTCCTGTAAATCTCTCACACACACATTTGCCTTTCCTAACATGAACTGTTCTCCCTTTGCAAAAATTCCATGTATAGTGGAAGTGAGGCCAGTATAACAGGGACCAGTGTGAGGTAGTGTCACTTATTCTTTAAATGACGTGTCTGTCATTTACTTAAACACACAGATGAGATAATACATTTCATATATATACATCCTCAAAAAGCTTAGCAGTACTATGCAAATCAAGATAAAATAGACCTACATTAATATGTTTAAATAGATGTTGAATGTGAAATTCAATACATAAAATGATACAAGTATTTTGTGTAGCAGTTATTACTTTCTGTAAAGCAGGTTTTCATTAGAAGTCAGGCTTCTCTGTGGTACAGATGTCCATTAATAGTTACACTTTCTTAAATCAAGGATATAATGTGTTGTATGCAACACAAACTCATCCATAATAATTTATGCTATGGTCTGTAAATGGTATCTTTTAATAACACTTGCATCTGATCCAGAACGAGAGCCCTTCATCAGCAACACAGTTCCCAATAAACCAGGACATTGCCAAGACAAAACAAGACAGACAAAACAACATGAATCATTTACTTGTTTTCTGTATGCATTGGAGGTGCTTCTATGTAGTGGAGGATAAAAGAAAATGGTTTAAAAACATAATTGATTTATGAATAATTTGCCATTCCAGGAGCAGTCACGGTCATTCCAGTGGTGTCGTCAAAATAAGCCCTATTCTCCCCCTCTGATTTTCTATGCCAGTGTTTCCCAACCAAGTCCTCAGGAACCCTCAGAGTGTCCAGCTTCCTGCTCCTTCCCAGTTCCCTGTCAGACGGTCCACATTTTTGGTAGGGAGCTGGGAAGGAGCAAAAACATGGACTGTCTGTAGTCCCCGATGACCAGTTTGGGAAGCACTGCTCCATGTAATCCATCTGTTCCTTTCATAGTTTTTCCCCACACTCCTTCAATCCAGCGTATCCACCTGATTAGGCAAGAGTAATGGCAGCTGGTTCTGAGCATGCTCTGCATCGACCAGGTTGACGGCATCCGTAGCTGTAGCAGGGGGCTGAGGGGCGTCTGAAGTCAGAGATGGGGGCTCCGTGGGGAGCTGGGGTTCCCCCGAGTTGCGCAAAGAGAGGGAGAGGGGTGGTGAGGGTCGGCGGGGGGGCTGGGAGGAGCAGCAAGGCAGCAGGTGGGCCAGCGCACGCTTGAAGTCTCGCATGAAGAGTGGGTAGATGATAGGATTCATGGTGCTGTTACAGTAACCCAACCATGTGAGGGCGTCGAAGAGCGCATGAGGCACACACTCACAAACTGCCTGGAGAGTAAAGAAGAAGATGGTCAGGAGAACAGAGAACATAGTCCCTGGGTACTGATATAGTCCAATATCTGTAACAAGGAAACACTGATACACTGACATGGGGATGTGGACAGATACAGTGGCACACTAAGACCAGACCCACTGATATGGCAGGAGTAACAAAAATAAAGCCGCACTGACATGACATACAGACAAAGACTGTGACAGAGTGGAGTAGGAATACAGCAGAGAGCCGCCCGGTTAAGATGAGTAAACATGAGAAGGGAGAGGATGTGCCGTTCACACTCCTCTGATGGGGAGGCAGAGTCACAAGTGGCAGTAGGGGGAGGGTTTTCTGCAAGGCCCCCGCTGGAGAGGGGACAGGGACACAGATGGAGAGAACGGTGCCTGGAGTACAGAGAGAGGAACCATCACTGGTAATTACTGACTTACACAGAGACCTTTCATCTGGACTTCTGCAGTACACTCCAGCCGTCGCTGATGGAGGGTTTGTCAATAATTGTTTTTGATTTTATTATTATTCCTTTTCATTTTTTTGAGAGCTGGAGAAGAGCTCCACTATAACGCCACAAGGATCAGTGATTATCATCAGATGCGGAGTTAGTGAAGGACAGTGTATGATCATTTTGGCAAGGGGGATAACCCCCCCCCCTCTTTTTAACAAATTCAAAGTGAGGACATACATCGAAATTCACTCAGAGGTGGATAGTTCAGGTCCAGAAAGGAAAAATCCAGATCAAGATGTTGTTTCAACCAAACAGCTGAGTTCAAAGAGTCACATTGACAGAGTTACTTCTTGGTTGAAACAAATTCATGGTCTGGATCTTTCCTTTCTGGACCTGAACTACCCACCATCGAATTCACTACTATACTAACAATATGGCCTGTTCTACATCACCACAGGAAAGGGGGAAACACACACTAATATATGCCATGTTGATAAACTACCCAGTCCTGCCAGACTGGCAATGCGCACACTGACCTGTGCCATGTTGGTGATGAAGAAGGGCAGCCAGGTGCTGAAGAAGAGCCCCAGCAGGACCCCCAGGGTGAGGCTGGCCTTCAGCGCGCGACGGCCCTGCCGGTGAGCCAACCTGCGCTCCTGACTCACTGAAGACTGGAAGGAGAGCAGAGCGAGGGAGGGAGGCAGCTAGTCAATCTCTCATCCTGTTCTCCTCTCTTTAAATCCTTTTCATACATAACCTGCACTCCTCACTCTCTGCTTCACAAACTGCCCTCTACCTTTGTTGCTGTCCTCTTCTCTTCTTTTTTCTGTAGCCAGGATCGCAAATATTTTTTACCTCTTCAGCAGACATCAGGTGTTTTTCATCTTTTTAATCTAAAAATGTCCTGCACTCCCAGTTCATGTCGATTTTATCTGCCTTTATGAAATGAAGGCCAGCTGTTCAAACGCTCTGGCCGTCTGCAAGGTGCTTTGCCGTGACACCGCTTAGACTGAAGGGTATTATGTGGACAAGGACAGACGCTGGATGGGAGGCATGAGTATGAAGCTATTAGCCTTGTTACATCAACTCTTAAAAGAACACTACTCTCTCATCTCCACCTCTGACAAACCTTTACAGTTTCAGCGTCAGTCACATTTTTTCTTTTCTCAGATTCCTCTTTGAAAAAGACTGATTGGAAGTTTCTGCTTTTTAATAACCCATGTCCTTCTGTACGTCTACACAAAGCGCCATCCCAGAGTAAAGCCACAGTATGCTTGCAATCGCTGTACCACTTTAACAATCATACATTTTAATTTCGAGTGACATGGGGAGAAAGCTGTGAGTGCAAAAGCAAAAAACAGAATAGAATGAAACATAACATTTTCCAAAAGGCATGGACTAATTTTGCACAGGGGAACTTGTAAGGCTCAGGCAGGAGGTGTGAAGACTGCAAACGTGGTGGCTTCACGTGGCTATTTCAGCGCGATTCAGTTTGTATCATCACTACACTGTGGATTAGTCCTGAACCACAGTAGGGGGTAGTGAGTTATTTTCTGTATGTTCTCCAAATATCAGTGAATTAATGCTGTACAAGAATAAAACTACTCAAACAGGTTTAAATGTGAGGAGAATGTTTCTGCTGTTTTCATGTCTATAGTCTACTATTTCTTTCGTCTTTCAGCACACCAATTCAGAAACGTGAATTATCAATGTATCAAAACATTTCTTGGAGTAAATATATGGTAAATCTTTTTTCACACAATGAGACTCGTTTACAAACATAAATAAATGATAAAGCAGCTTTTGCATATAAGATCTGTGCATTGATTCACATTTATCTTACACAGTGAATTCATACACTGTTTTGTTTCATTTCATTTAGTGAACTGGTAACTAACATCCTTCAGCTAGCAAATGGTAAAATGTATTTATTTGTCTGTAGACCTGTCCTTCATTAATTCCCATTTCCCTACATTACATACACAGGCTGAACACCAGGAAAAATACTTCCAGTTTAAAATGAAAGTGTACGGTCGCATAATATCATTTTCACTCTTCTAGTGATTACTGTGCTTTTATAGTTTTATGGCTTATATAAAATACTACTTACCCTTGTTGACTCATTTACCACAATTCTACGTTTACAAAGATCAGCTCCTATAGATGCATCACTGCCTAAGCTCATTTAAATGTCAGACATTAACACCATTTCCTTTCAACCACAGTAATGCACAGAAATAGATTGGCAGTACTTACTGAGGAATCCCTAAAGGAATTCCCATTCTATTACAGCATCCGCTAATCCGAGCGACTAGTCGAGCAACACTAGCCATCTCCTAAACTTTACGTATGTATACTGCTGGATATTTGACCGGTTAGATTAAGATCTAACCTCCCATCTAACCTACCTGTGCCAGGCGAGCCGCAGGGACCTCCTGGTGGCTGCAGTAGTCTCCATCCACGGGGGCATGTGCAGGCGAGGCTGGGCGGGATGCCCCCCCGGGGGAATGGTGTAGGTGGTGGGGGTGTGTCAGGGCGGCCACGCGCCGGGCCTGGCGCCTCGCGGCCAGCAGGATGCGGCAGTAGGTGAAGCAAATGGCCGCCGAGGGCAGGAAGAAGGTGAGGCAGGATGCCACCAGCGCGAAGGGCAGACTGACGCGGAGGCGGCACTGGGCGGGCGTGGTGCTGGAGCTCCAGGGGGTGAGACCCAGGCGCAGGACACCCAGCTCCGGCAGGGCGGCACGGCCCAGGCTGTGCCAGCCCATCTCGATCGGCAGGAAGGAGGTGAGCGCGGCCAGCGCCCAGGCCCCGGCCAGCAGCAGCAGGGCGCGCAGCGGTGTCATGCGCTGCTTGTAGCGCAGCGGCGAGATGATGAGCAGGTAGCGGTCCAGGCTGATCAGGCACAAGTTGAGGATGGAGGCGCTGCAGCACATGATGTCGAAGCAGAGCCACACGGGGCAGAAGGGCGGCCAGAGCATCCAGGCACCACTCAGCGCATTCAGCGCCGCCGGGGGCATCACCACCAGCGCCACCATGAGGTCAGACAGGAACAGTGACACCAGGAAGCAGTTGGAGGTGCAGCGGAGCGTGCGGTGAGCCAGCACCAGCCCGATGAGCAGCACGTTGCCGCACGCCGTCACTGCGATGATGACAAGCAGCACAGCAGCCAGCAGCCACACCCCACTGCCACTGAGGTCCCACACTGCATCGGCCCCCGCGTAAGCGAAGCTGCTGTTCTGATTCCCGCCTCCAGTGGGCTTCGTAACTGCCGCCACAGCCCCTTTGGGGAAGCTGGGCTCAGCCATCTTCAGATAGTCCGTTAACTCCGGGTCTGGAGGGTAATGGTTGAAGGGCCAATAGGAAGGGCTCTCCTGTCAGAGGGGAGGAAGCGGACCAGAGGGGATGCGAGGAGTTTCTCTCGCCGCTCCGCACACAAACTCAAGCGCTCATCCGCCAGCAGAGCTCAGCTCCTAGGTGCCAATCGCTCAGCGTCCTGCATGCCAGCTCGCTGCCGCCTTCTCCTGTCGCTCCATCGGGCTCCTCTCCTGTTCGCCACGACGCCGGCGTGCTTGTCTGCGCGTCTCGCAGCTGTGCGTGTGTCACAATGACACACGGCGCAAAAGGGCAGCACAGAGAGGACTTACCGCGCGCGCGTTTGCGGCCGCATACGTGCACCTGCCCGGCAGCATGTCTGCTGCGGCGAGTGTGTGAGGGTGTGCATATAGAGAGCGGAAAATTGAATCAGGACCAAGGGCGAGAAAGAGAGGGAGCGAGAAGGTTGGAAGGAACAAAGATAAAACGTTTCCAATTGTGTGTAATATCTGCTGTGTTTGGAGGAGCGCGCGTGTGTGCGAGAGTGAGCGTGTGTGCGAGAACATCTTTAAGTGGGCCAGCCCCCGACGCTGAAGTATTTGTGTGAGTGCATGAGATGCTGTGGCCACGAGCACCTCCTCCCGCGCCCGGCCTAATCCCCACGTCCAGCACTCCAGCGCTGCCAGCACGTGTCTGCGCATTAAAATGTCGAAGACGCTGCCAGTCTGGGTTCTCAGGTGTATGAGGGTGGGGGGTGGGCAGATGGAACTGGGTCGCAAGGCGAGCGAAGCTGGAGACCCAGCCTCAGGCCACATTCGCCCCGCCGTAGCAGCTCCTAAGAACATTTGTTTTGAGTTTAAGTCAGGGATGATGAGCCCGTCCTTACAAGGACAAACGTGACTGCGGTTAAAAAGCTGTGTACACTATGTTTTAAATACCGTGTCCGTGGTAAAAATTGAGTTCTGATCACAATGTCGTCAAAATTTGCCGTGATGTTGATGCCTGCTATAGTTCTTTATGAGACTGTTGTAGAACAAGCTACATCAAGCCAGAGCTCCACAATAAACAGAGGGCAGACTACTGTGCTTTTACCGTAAAGGTTACACAAAAGATTACTAGTTCTGTAACCTACAGTCCAACTGCACTGCATGACTGATCTGGCAGTTACTTGCGATCCAGTAACATTTATATAGACCATATTTTTCCCTGGTAAAAAACACTACATTTTTAGATTATGAAATGCAGTTTTTATTGTAAAACTGGTTATAAAACGGCCAAAAAACATAAAAAAAGGTAAGAGTTAAATTTTTACTGTACTATGGAGTGAAGAGTGATTAAGAAAATAGGGATCTGGTGGTTTTAGATTCCTTCACTGAGGTTCTGTGAATGATTGGCTGAGAAATGAATCCTTCACAGAATTTGCCTATGCATACTTTGCTGATTAATAGAATGATTTTCCAACTGGAGGGTGACATCGTGCCTCAGCAGTTAGCACTGACGCTTAGCACCTCCTGCTGCCCCTTTGTATATGGAATCTGCATTTTCTTCTCCTGCAGCATGAAGATATACCGTTAAGCTAATTAGCATCTCTGATTTGGCACTGTGAATGAATGGTATCCTGTATGTGCTGGAATTCAGATGTAATTTACTAATCCTACTTTTATATATATATATTCTGAATAGGAAAGATATGTTTAGAGGACTGAAATAAATTATCTATCATTTGTTTTAACTGATTTTTACTGTGTGGCACATTGCAAATATGTGTTACAAATATACAAATATATAAGAACAACAACAACAATAAATAATAATAATAATAATGTTGTTGTTGCTGAATTCGGAAGCCACAACACGGCAATCTCCTGGAAAACATGGCCAGTAATGGGAGGTTATTGACATAATACGAAAGGAACGGAAAGAGGGAGCAGAAAGCAAAAGAATATATTTAATTTCTATTCATTTTGAGGAGACTTCCATACTGGATTGCATTTAATATTCTCAGAGAGAAGGCTTCCAGAAGTGGGAAACCAGGTCCCACTTTGCAAAATGTTGGAACTATTGGTGTTCAGAGGCGTGAAACACGTCTCTCTCCCACACCTACCCTTCGGGCCATCACGATGCAATATTGCGCACTGAGTGAATTTGATTTTGCTGCCACCTTGTGAGCATCTGAGTGTATGACAGGTTCTCCATCAAGCCTCAGGAGAACCACAGATATAAAAGGAAGGCAGTAGAAAGAAGTATGCAGGTTACTTCCCACTCTGTTTGCTTGTAAATTTGAGAAACTATTTATGCACCATAACCACACAATGATCAATAGTTGAATTTGGTCTTCTTGTTAATACAGCCATTTCATACTGTGAGCGGTATTGTTTTGATAAGAAAAGGGCTGTTTCACACAATTGATCCTTTTAACATAATATTTGACAGCTCTTTCCCAGCCTTTGCAGGCATGTTATAAAGGTCAAGATCTGGAACAATTGCTCCAAAATTGAAGCAACACTTAGTGACAGAAAAGGGAAGGATGATTCAGATAAGATGCTTAACCTTGTGAACAGGATAAACTCCATTTGTTATTATTACTCTGTTAACTCTATTTGATCTTTAATGGATATTATCCATTTCACAAAACATTATATGGATGAAAATCTATACCTGAGAGACCCAAAATCATCCCACAATTGTAGCTGCAGCAACAGATGGCAACAAAGGCCCAAAACTGAGGCTGCAGGCTACCATCTTGTGAACAAAGCCATCTGCCATCTGAATGCATTCTGTGGATCATTTTGCAAACTTCTCAGGAACATTGTGCAGGTCAGCGATTCTCAAAATGTGGGATGAGGTGATTCTCGGGATATTATAAAATAAAGTTTGTATTTTTTTCTTCATTGCCAGCCCCCCCACTTCATAAATTTTATTGGTATCAGTCCAGTAGCCCGTCGCCGAAATTTATCATGTTACTAAGCCCTAGTTAAAGGCAGTGGTGGTATATGAAAAAACAGGCACAGATCTGGTTTCATTAACACAAGTCAAACTAAGTGTTCCAGGGTCAGCAGATAAATAGCCTGACCCTGCATTTGCTTTACTTAACTGTATATAATCTGTATGTGTGTGGGGGGTCATATCAGTTCCTGCAATTGGAAGGTGCCGGTTCAAGCCCGACTTCAGCAGAACAGTCACATGTCCATGGACCCTGGAGCAAGGCCCATAACCCCCAGGTCCATGGACACTGCTGCAGGTGGCTGCCCTTCACTGCCAAGCTCACTCACATCCATGTGTCTCTGTGTCACGAAAAGCAAAATGGGCAAGGTGTATTATTATTCATTGTGAGGAACATATGTCCCCACAGTATGATAACATTATTTTGATGTTGTGGGGATATTGTTTTGGTCCCCACAAGGGGAAACTTAATTTTATAAAAATCTATGAATACAATTAAAAAACTAAAAATGCCAAAAGTCTTGTATTGTGTTTGGTTATTTATGGTTAAGGTTCTCATAGTTGGGAATAGGGTTATGCCCATTGAAATGAATGGAGAGCCTCCACAATGACAGACACCAAATGCGTGTGTGATATTTCTGAAAAGGAGAGCGATTAGTGATGTTCAACCATTCATGAGAGAGAATTCAGCCATCAGGCAAGATACACTAACTGGAGCTTGTGTGTGTACAGTCAAAAACTATCTGGCCAGCAGTATTTGATATGTATGTGTCTGTATGACATTACATGGTAGTTACTTAGTTAAACCTAAGTTATATTGTTTTATTGTTGTAAAGCACTTTGATCAATCACTGGTTGTTTTTAATAGTGCTATATAAATACAATTACTTTAACCCTGAAGTGGCCATGGACAGTTTTTTCTTTTCTATTGTGTGCAGTGTACTAAATTGTCCACAGAATTTAGTTTAATGTGCCTATGAAATACTGAATTGAGCTCACAGAATATAAATAAACTGTGCCTGCAAAGCAAGAAACTGGAGTATTGGGTCTGCAGTCAAGCCATCTGCACTTAGTGAGACATACACCTTGCTAGTACCGGGTTGGGCCCCCTTTTGCCTTAATGCTTTGTGGCAGATTCAAAAAGGTGCTTTAAACATTTGACAGAGACTTTGGCCCATGTTGACATGATAGTGTCATACAGTTGCTGCGAATTTTTCAGCCATTAGACGCTGGGTACTCCATGGTCATAAAGGGATGGACATGGCCAGCAACAATACTCAGCTAGGCTGTGGCAATCGAAAAAATGCTCAATTGGTACTAAGGGGGGCAAAGTTTGCCAAGAAAATACCACCCACACCCAGAACAGAGCTGTGGTGACTCACACTTCCCAGGAATGGCTTTCCTTCTGATATCTGTAACTCCCCGTCTCTCCCAGTCTACAAATCTCACCTTAAAACCTTCTGGTTCTCCCAAAGTTTCTAGTTCCCACCAATCTGCTTTTTTCCCCTGTTCATTTTGCTTTATCCGTATATGACTCGTATTCTGCATTACTTTATCAGTCATCACTTTGCACGCATTGTAAATATTGGTGCCCTGTTTTGCATTATTGAATATTGTTAGCATCTCTGGGTTTTGAAAAGTGCTGTATAAGTACAATTCATCATCATTATTACTACTATTGTTATAAATAATTATTAATAATGATAAACTAACAAATCAATAAAGTCAAATATAAGTATCGATAGCCGTTAGTTGCCACCATGACTGTTGCCCTCGTATGCTTTCAATACCTAGAATGCTCCTAATGATGGAGATGGGACTACAATTTCTAATTACAGGCTTGTTAAATTCTGACAGTCTCACTAATCTGGCTCTGCCTTGTGGGATGAAATCAATCCAAAACTTGGGATAGCATCCTTATTTCATACACCAGGGAAGGGTTGATTGAAACCCACAGCTGACAATACACAAATGAAATGCTCGAGAGAGAAAGCTATATAAATACACATATATTTTGTATGGGTGCGCTCCTGCAGTTGCATGTACATTAGTATTTTATTAATTAACAGGATCAGCTCTGATCAGGTATACTGCAGTGAGACTGGGAAAGAGCTGAGAGGCAAACAGCATTGATGCAATCAATATGCGGAGAAGGCGTTCACTCTGGGAAATGCTACTGGTCCTGCAGAAAAAAAAAAAAAAAACAAAGGAAGGCAACTTCATTTGTAGCTGGTCTTGTGTGAACTCTGCATGTTTATGATTATGTTTGCCTGGAATAACATACTGTGTGATAGATGCATGGGCTGTGCCAGACTGGTGAGTGTGTGATCCTAAATGTGTGTCTGACATATTCAAGGTACACACCAGCTGGCATACTTACTTTGACCAGCTGACCATGCAGAAGGTATGGAGACCTGAAGTCATGCTGGCAGTTGGAGTAAGCCATACCAAGCCCTGACCCCAAGCCGAATGAGATGGGCCATGTACGACCTGTGGGAAATTGATTTGCAGAATGAGCTCTCTCTCTCTCTCCCTCTCTCCCTCTCTCCCTCACACACACACACACACACACACACACACACACACACACACACACACACACACACACACACACACACACACATTCCTCTCTTTACCAGTTCCTTCCCAGTGACTCATCTTAATTTGAGATACACCAACATCGATACTTGTTGGTATTGGGTGCGATCCCTCCCGATAAATCAAAACATGCAGTTACACACAGGGCTGTGGAGTCGGAGTCGGAAGATTTAGAAACTGAGGAGTCGGAGTCGGAGCATTTATCTACTGACTCCACAGCCCTGGTTACACATCTGGCTGCGTGCAGACCTGCCCCCAGTGGGGCACGTTCAAAGATGAGCAGGCACAGCATTCTGGTTTCAGTGCACCATTCATCTGTCAAACGGGGGTAGCTTCACTGTCAAAACAGTGATGTGTAATAAACGGCTTTAACCTGAGAAAAAGAGAACTCACGCTTGAAGAAGACAACCGAGAAGACGATGCCCAAACCCAGGCCGGCCCCTAGAGAGGAAGGGAGAGATGGGATTTTCCGTAAGTGAGGGACACGTGATTTAGCAGCAAAGCTGCCATCCACAACTTCTGACACAGACAATACTCAAGGGGGAGTTAAGGAATATTATTAAAGAATATTAGGGGATGCAAAAAAGAAAAACAGCACATATACAGTCTTCCTTCCAGGTACCAAAAGTATGGTACCTGATGCAGTGAAAAAGCACCTCAATAGTACCTTAAGAGTTTACCAGCTAAAGTCTTCCTGACACAAACGTATGTCATTTCCTTTGACAATGTGCTTCAAATTTTATACTGACTGTAGCTTAGAACACACCATTCTCTGCCGAACACCTATGGTCTTTCATGCACCACAGCCTGATTAAATTTCCAGAAAGGGACATATACAAAAAAATTTGGTTGCCTATATTGGTAATGGGTATTGCAGATATCTAGGAATACAACTCTTTGGAAGGTAAACTATTGGATATTTTTAACAGCAGGAGACGTTATGATGAGATGTTACAGTCCAGTGTTGATGTGGATTTTAGCATATGAACAAGTTACAATCATATCTTCGTACGAAACCAGTTCTAAAAGCTACAAATGCTGCAAATGCTGTTCTTGAGAATGCATATACTTCCCTTGTGAATAGTGGGCATCATAATGTGGCCTTAGTTTAAATATAAATCTTTTACTTTCCATTTAGTAACACGGACAACAAATACATATAATGTTAGTGAACACACATCATGCAAAGACCGAAACAGGTGTTAATCTGTCGCTGATGCTGACCAAGCTGAAGAGGTTCATAAAATAATTTAAATATTTGAGGCCTTCAACCATCTACAACCATTTGTGGAAAATCCCACAAAATGGAACAATTCAAGATCACAGCGAGTCCCCCCCCCCCAAGTATTTGTGCATTGCCAAAATGTTCCCAATAACAACATATTACATCAGCTCTTAGTTAGAAAAAGACCTCTACAGGGCAGCTCATAACGGCTCATTACCTCCTTACCGTAAAGAAAATCTCGTTAGGTAACAGATCGGATTCTTTAAAGCGAGTTGCTGACACAGTCCCCTTCTGTGCCACGATGTAGAAGTTATCATTTCATTAAGTGTCGTTTCATTTTAGAACAAAATCTAAACCTTAGTCGGAAGTTACAAGTCAATTCTAACCCAATATCTCAAGAGAAAACGTTTTCAGTATTTACATAGCAGCTATGAAGGAATAAACAATCGCGTAATTCTGTCAGTGTTAGCCGGAGCCTTGTCAACTAGATGAATGCAGTAAATCAATGATGACGTTACTCGTTAAACGTGTTATTAGATTTTACATTACTTTCTGAACAGTCAAACCAAAATGCACCCACAAGATGACAGAATATATAAAAATTAGTACTTCTATCACTAGATGACCTAACATTTCCAAGCCACCAGCTTCAATATGACCTACCTTCCCAACCTTCAACAGGACCTCATTAGCTACAGAAGCCGATAGTGGAATCTACGGAATTATACGTTTCTTTTCACCGACTTCTTGTACCTAACATATCGACTGCTTTGTAACTCCAAGTTTCGTGTTAAAAACAAGCAAATCAGCCATAACAATAATTACCAAGTTTGACTGCCGCGTCCGCGAGACAGCGGTCCCACTTCCTCCCCAGCTCTTTCTCAGACATGTTTCAGTAAAATGTGGATCTCGCGAGATGCCACGCGCTTGATAAAAACTAAGTTATCGCGGGAATTTGTGGTTGGCTGAGAGAATTTAGGAAATTGTTACGCCAGAAATGTTAAGTAAAATGTTTGTTTCGCAGCTTTACTACTATAAATAGATATATCTCTCAATGTATGATCAGCTGTAACAGCCAAAAGAACTGTATAGTCATGCATTAACAACAAACGTTGAAAATATCTAGTTTGTAGGATGCAATAAGTAGCCTATATTTTAACCAGTGTTTTAGATACAGCATAACATATAAATCAACATATAAACATTCTGGATTGCTCGCCTTACATAATGTAACTAATCAAACTTAATATTGACGAAATCAGGTTCATTAACTGGGTTGCCGGGGAAATAAAAATAATTGAACAAATTCCTCAAGTTACCAAGAGTTAAGAGTCATTTTTTTCGATTAAACCTACTTATGCTTGATTGACCACGCCCTGTTGGTTTCCATATTTGGCAATGCCTTGGTTACTACTTTACGATTGGTTGTTACAGAGCAACCGTATGGTGACCCGGATATGGATTCCCT